AAAAAAGGGGGGGGGGGGGGGGGGGGGGGGGGGGGGGGGGGTAGCCGGTTCGAAATAAACCCAGTATAGGCTAGCAAATAGAACGTGACAACCGTGACAACGTAGCTGCTGACTCAGTCAAAAGCCGCCAAAATCGGATCACTGTAGGTGAGGGACATATGACGTCACACCTTGTGAGCGTGCAGATAAATCATACAGTTGAACAGCCAATCCTAGCTAAACGCTTGCATTTGGGTTCTGTTCGCAGGTTGGACGATTAAAATCTCCGCACTAGTGATGATTATGAGTAGAGACTGAAAGGTGCTTCTCAGCTTCATGCGAGCGATAGGTCAAAAAAAGTTATTGGAATGCTCAAACTAGGTTCGTAGTCAGTTTGCTGTCTGGCGAATCGATCGCAGTTTTTTGGACAATGGGGGATTGGCCAAGCTAAACAATTCTTAAGTTTGCGAATATACACTCATTTGCAAACTAATTTGGTTTTTCCGAGAGACTCACCTGGAACCCAGCAGAATCTCTCTTCTGTGATGTTCTCAGGCAACTGAATGTGCTGCACTAGACCGGCTCATGTTTCAGTCGCTACGATATTTGAAATATCGCGATACATGTATATCTTTGTAATGTACTACTCATTAGGTTGCTGAAAATCCGTCGACAGCCCACGACCGGTTTCACCCTTCTTGAGGCTCATCAGTCCCCGGGTTTCCGTCAGCCTAATGTTCTACTTGAAACCAAATTGCAAGAAATTAGCGAATATACAGTCATTTGCAAACTAATTTGGTTTTTTAAATTCCTCAATTTCATAGCTACGCTTGGTCTCATTCGGCAGCACTTGCTTGTTGAAGGTCACATGGTTGAAATGCGCTTGGACTAGTCAGTTTGGGACAGTGATTTCCAACGGATTGGGGTACGACGAGAACAGTTCGCTGACCAGGTGTTGGAAGGCCTTAAAAAATCGTTCAGCTGTAGAACCCTTTCGTGTGTCTAGCTGCCATGCCACCCGAAGGAAGCACGAGGGCTGCCAGGGTGCCCAAGCCTAGACAGAGGAGGTCGAGAGACAGAGGTCGGGTTCAAACCACGGACCTTCCAGTCAGTAAATTCGCGCTCTAACCACTTAGTCCATCTAGCCCTAGGGATGTAGAGGTCTGCAATAGCAAGTGTTTGGCGACGATTCAACGCAAATCGCGTTCTGTGATGGATCAATTTTTCATATTCTGTGATTTTTTCCCCATGATACCAGCTGTCGCTAAATGCCACTAGTCAAGTCCTTCAATCGCGGTCTGAACATCTCCAGCATGTAAGTCCAAGTTCAGTGCAGCCTAAAACCAAACGGTGTCTCCCCGAAGCAAGCGAGAAGTTCATGGTACTCCCTCACCCCAACAGAACTTCACAACTCTCAAAAGCAAGTGTCATACGAGATAGCCACCAGACGCCAAGCGCCTCCATGCAAATCACCTTAACTGCGGTGTATATCTTTTGGAAATAACCCCTTCATTTAGTCCTCCTGGAGGTGATCGAATTCGGGAGGGAACAGCAGCGTCCTAAACATTTCACCAGAATGTCTCAACAGGTTTTGTGGAAATTGGTGCAGAAGGCTCAATCTACAAAAAATCAATCTAGTTCGTATCCTCACCGCGACAAAGTACACTGGGTCGTTACGACTCGGTAGAAATTCACTACCTCAGTCAGCGTTCCCCAGATGAATGACCTTATAAGACCTAGGGGTGAAATGTCTACAGTGGACTCAACAAGGACAGTGTCACATAAGGCGATTTATCACGTGGTAATGAGAGCCATCTCAAAATACAACGCAAAAGTTTATGACTAGTGAGTTCTAGTCTCACCCACAGCCTCAGCTTCAATAAGCAACCATGACTATAAGTTGTATAGCGACTTGTGAGTGAGTGCGAGACGGAAACCGCTCACCCCTCCCCCCCACCGTAAGTTTGATGTAGACTGGCAACTAACATATGTATAGTTACCATGAGGCGCAAACGTACCATATCGTAGACATTCACCGCGACTGACGCCCCGGTTGGTAGGCTGCTCACTGAGCCCCGATTGCCTTTGCTGCCGCGCAAGCTAACCCGGTCCATTCTGGCCTTCATCCGCCCGAAAAAACCACTCGTAGGTTGCATACTGCAAGAAATAAAGCGAATAGTAGCAGGCTGAATAAGTTTTATTGTCTCACCCGCGAAAAAAGCTGATCGAGATAATAAACTGTTACCTTCCAATGGGATGAGGACGCACTGGCTACCCCTCAAGAAGCACCAACCTCGATAGCAGTGTTCACCCTAAGTATCGAATTCGCCACCAGTCAAAGATGGGAAGGGACGAGAAGGCGAACAAACAGGGCCCTTACCAGGGACTTGTGATTTCCGGAGGAATTACACGTAAAATAAGAACCATGGATGACGGATCTTTATGTAGATATGCATGGATTTTTTAGTTTATCGGATGCCACACTCGTCCTACTGCCTTCATTCAGTGTATCACGTAGGGTTGGGGGGGGGACACAAACGGCCACCTAACTCGGTCAAGCAAAACTGACCGCATACATGGGTTTTTCAGCAATCACTCAGGAATAGATCATTAAAGCTGTTTTATTTGGCGAAATCCATGTCTATTCATTAAGTCAAGCTTCAATGTTGGACGGCCAGGCTAAGGCTTTTCGAACTTACGGTTTGACAACTTGTGATTTGCTTATGCACAAAAGCGGTGCTGTCTGGCCCAATATACAAAAGAACAAGCAATCTGCTCTCTTACTACCTCACGATATTCTCTTCAAAATGTCCACTCAGCTTTCCTTCTCGGATGTTATTAAAGCGATTTTGTCATTGTTTTATGCACGCACTTCACCAGGAGGATGAAAGAAAAAAGCGAGGGCTGGCGTCCGACAAAGATGAGTTAGCGACTTCCATGTATGGAGAGCACGAGAGGCTGTCGGATAGAAAGCCGTCATTTAATGCGAGTGGTGCGCACCAGTGTTAGTTCCCGTGATCGATTTAGGGGCAACACTGCTAGCAACACGCTAAACTTAGAGGATATTCAGGGCCATGTCCTCAGGTACTAAAGTAAGTTTCGCAAGACGACCGTTGCTGAATGAACAGATCATCAACATTTAATTTGGGTACACCGCGTTGTACCAGGACTAATCACTCCATTTGGTGCCACACATCCGTCTCGGTGTACCGGAGCTTATTGGAAAAAACGACAGAAGTGAGCCACATGTTGCAGAAGAGGTGTCAACTGGGAACTCGTCAGCTAACAGAGGTTTTTATGTGCTATGTTAGGGTATTTCTCGATGCGGTACTGTCGACTTGGACCACACCGAAGAAAGTATGAACGAACACGCCGAAAACAATCAAATTTTATCATCGATTACGAGCACTCAATTAAAAACAAACAAAATAAGCTCGAGGGGGTTGGAGTAGAATGTTACCGAGGAACTTGGCGCATTTCCGGCATGTTTAATCATCATCATAATCCTGGATTTTGAAAGTATTTCGACCGTATTCGATAACGCGCCGGCGGTCACGGTCAACCGTTGGACGATCAGAATGTGCAGTTTTTGTGACCGACTTCTTCTAACCCGTCGGAGGAAGGCAACATCGCTGCTTCCATGAATGCTGGTCGCATGCTGGTCGCCTGGGGGGGGGAACATCTTGCTGTCTTCACACTGCTACCGCATAGGACAATACGACTTTACCCCCAGACCACCTCGCAGTACGGGGTCTCGCTGCTCTTGGTCTGACTGCTCCCCTTTGGCCTTCCTGGCATGGTTGTACCTTGTGAATCGAAGTTCCAGCTATTGTAGCCCACGGAATCATTGCATCACTCAAGCCCGACCACGTCAAAGTGGTAGCTTTAAGTCAGGCCGGCATCGTCAAAGTCAGCTAGATTACGGAATATTGAAATGACGAAATTAAAGTACTCGGAAACAGAGATAATCCGAAGGAATCGTAGCAGTGCGGCGATGATCGGTGTCTTCAAGTAAGATTAAATCTTCCACTTCGTAACCACATAATTCAAGAAGCCACGACAGGCTCAGTGGGACTGATGCCATACTCTGCCAACGTGCAAGCCAATCTCACCGCTTATCGGCCAAATGTTGCCAGAAGGCCAAATTCTCCTGTAGGGTTTCGTGAGATGCACACCGCTGATGCCTTCCAACAAAAATGAAACATCAGTGCAGTGCTTTTCATCACGGATGGCGTTTGGTTTGTCTAACGTTTCGAACGACGACCCAATAACTGCTCTGCTTGGTACGATCGATTGACCCGCCTGTCAGAACCTTTCAGGCAGGTGACACCATGGACGTTTGAAGGGTGCCGGAATATGTTTAACTAATTTTAAACGGCTTCCGTACCGGAACAATTGCGCCAGGATGGGGGGTCAGTTTAAACTTCACAAGTCTTGTAACCATCTAGAACCTATTTTCGATTGGTCCTTGTTGCACTCGGTGCGTATGGAGGATTTGCAGTATAACTTCCTCGAAGTTGTTCATCTTCTCCATTTCGGGTATTTAACGTGTCTGACTGATATAGCATCAAAGAGAACGTAACAAGAAGACAAATGAAACAGATACACAGCTGACGTATGAAATACATAATGGATTTATACCGCAAGTTTGCAAACATCGTGCTCCGACGTAGGGCTAGCCTACAACACACATCCGAGGTGCTTACACCTCCAGCACTTAGCCAGACAACATGGATAAAAACCGACAGTAGGAATGTCACTGACATCGATCAGTGTCCCTAGTCAGGCGCTAGGAGGGTCATGTAGACCCCATCCTGGAAGGCACCCAAACTTTTCGCCTTTACAACATTATTCACTTCTGCGGTGGCCAGGCAACGGCAGTGAGCTATTGACAAAGAACCCTAATGAAATGTCCCCAGAATTGGACGGATGGGATTACCACGGAAAAGAAACTCCGCAGGTGAATGAAATAATGTCATAGCCAAAGCTGCTGGATTCTCCCATCGCACGATCAAAATCGCGGTAAGCTGAGGGGAAAGCACAGTTCCACAAACATGACGCTACCGTACTACAGAGCCGACGGCACTATCCGGAAGCAGCGGTCTCCAGGTACGTTTTCATTGGATATCTAAACACAAAAACCTAAAAAGAAACGTTTGAAGTCAAAACACAGCACAGTGCGACAAGATGTGATAATCTGACGTTTTGGAGGCCATGGGCAACCGTTCTTGGCCCCTAGCCAAATGGCCTCAGAATGGAAAGTGAGCAGAATGTTTTTCAGGCTGTAATTTCGCGGGAATAAAACGTCTACAAACGAAGTGTCCCGAACCAAAGTAGCGCGAAGGTGGAGTGTAACGAAAGTAGTGTTTTGTATCTTGGAGTTAAGTCGTACCACACCTCTTTATGATCAGTGAAAATATCCCTCCAAAACAGGGAGCCTGAGAATAGTGTTCATCAAAGTACGACAGAATGGCAAAAAATAGTTCACTTAGAGCACCCTTTCGGTGTCTAGTTACCATGACAACGGAAAGAGGAACGAGGGCTGGGATAATGCCAAGTTGCCCATGTCTAGACAGGAGCAGCCGAGATGTCGTGTTTCGGTTCGAACCACGGATATTCCGGTTCGTAAGCTGGCACCTTAACCACCGAGCTCTCTGGACTTATCTCGACAGAATTTTCTCCGCTAGTATTCGCCAACATGAGTACATGTAACCCCATGTGACTCGTATTCCACGTAGGTCTAAGCACATTTACGTAAAAATTACAAACTGGGGAAAGAGTCGGTCCGCAGTGAAAGATTCTGGGCGTCCAGATTTCGGGAAAGGAGTATACAAGCGGCATCTGTCGTCGCACGTTAACCACTTTGGGGACCGAAAAACCATCAGCGATGCCGAGTGCAAAAGTGATCAATCCATTAAAATTCACTTAATTCGTATGTACACTTACTGGAAACGGACAAACCCCGAAAGCGAAAGAACCTGACCGGCAGACTAGCGGCGAAAGTAATCGGGAGCTGATACACTCTGAAGTTCCAACCTTTAATGGAGAACACAGGAAAGGGAAACGATGTAAGACAGGCATACACCTCGCATAATCAAACGATGTGGTTCTTGTCACTTACCCATTGATCATTATGTAGCTGTGCACTTGACCCTTGAACGGTCAAGTCAAATCAGTTTGTAAAATATAAACGGTATTGGTTCAAGGGGCGATGGCTCTTCAGTGAATATAACGAGAATGACAGAAGACCGAGGCATCAGAGGCCGCACACTAAAGGGTCTATTGACGTAGTCTTTCCACTTTTCCTACTATGGGTGGGAGTTACGCGTATACACGTTGAATGCAACAGTTTTAACGCATGATCACCATTGTTTGGGTGATTTGGTTACATCGATCGGCCCTATTAGAAAGTGGTGTGACCCCTTCCTAAGATCTCTATTCGGAAAAACACCAGCTGTCAAAATGACTAAGTTCGCCGGACAGAGCTTCATACTCCACCCCGAGTTACAGCCCAATCATCGTTTTCACTTGTAAATCACGCTGTCCAATGGTTGCATCAGACGTTCCTAGATTTCTGGTGGTTGAGTTAAAAGAGCTCTCTGGAGGGAAGTCGGATATACAACAGTTCCAGAGGTGTCCCGGGATGGATAAGGCAGCTCTGGCCTTCCAAATTCGAAGTAGTTTCAATTTTGTCAGTCCTCTTGGACCAAAAAATAAACGCTTAGTCAAAACATCGATCGCTACTGTACCAGCATGTGCGGCAATCAACTAAATCAGTCCTATTCACCGGGATGGCTGCTCTAGTCAGTTCAGTTTGGCAACTGTGAACCATATACGTATGTACGGTGGCCCAGGTCGCTACAGCTTGTCTTATATGGGGTGAGATAGAGCGGGTACAGAAGGACATTTTTCCAAAACGAAACAAAAAATAAGAAACAAATATAAGAATAAGAATAGGTCAGTGATTAGGAAAAAGTGGGTAGATAAAACACCGCCTCTGGTAGCATGACAGCCATTTGAATGAGCACATTCACAAATTGACGTAGTGGGCCCCAGATATCCAACCTCAATGACAATATGCATCAGTACAGCGAACACTTTTCATTATATTCGTCTCCAGTTCATGCGCTGTTCATCTTGTGGTATTGCCCAGTCGGAACCTGGACGCACCGCTGCGTTGTAGACTCTACCCAGCACCTACAGGCTAGGTTACAACCATGACCTACAGACCCATGACCTACACAACTAACAACCATGACCTACAGGCTAATATCACCCCGGAGGCGACTAAGATTAAGGGAAGCAAAACGGAGTATAGCGATTATAGCACTTGCTTCGTCTGCAATGGTGCCATCCGGCGTACTGAAAATAAACAGACAGATACATCTGATCACAATCTGTACGGGTGTGACGCCCTGGTCAGCTTTGGCAGTATACAACGTCATGCTTCAGACCATGCAGACCCAGAGCATGTCATTTTCGATTCAAGGATAACCACTGGAGGTCGTGGAAAATTCTATATACCTCAGTAGTTGTATTAGCTCTGACGGAGGGGTGCTTGATGAAGCATCCAGCTGTAGCACCCTTTCAAGACCTAGCTGCATGCCACCAGAAGGAAGCATGAGGGCTTGGATACTGTCAGGTTGCCCAAGCCTAGACAGGGTAAGTCAAGAGGCAGAAGTCGGGTGCCTGATGAAGTCATTAAACGAATCTCAAATACCCGAAACACGTTTGCTAGTTGGTATCACTTGTGGCATCAAAAAGGCGCATCGCTGGGGCTCAAAGATTGCGCGTACCACACCAAGGGACACGCTATTGTGTTTGCGAGACATGGCTTCTGCGTACGGTTTTTTACCACTGCTACCTCAGAAGTGCTACTTGTGTCGGTTTGTGTCGATGAATTCCTAACGGGGTAGCTGGATAACGAGTGTTTGATCGTGCAGCTGGAAATATCTAGCACCATTACTTGTGATGAGTTGGCTATGTGGTTCGCATGCGAAAATATCGTATACCAAGAAGAGTGTTGTTATCCGTGCTTCCTTCAGAATGGCACAAACTGTGAGGTTGCTAACGTGCGGCTAAACGAAGAACATGAAAAGGAATACGAACGGTTCAGGGGTTGTTAATGTGATCCAGGATGGGGCCACCGTAATCTCCCTGCGCCTGATTGAAGACTTAAAGAAGTAGCGACCACTCTATGTTAGTAGCGTTCGTGCTGCTGGTTTCTTCCCTGAATATCTGATTGAGTGCCTGGAGGTGTAGACACCTCAGAATGCGTACGATAGGCCAGCATTTGGCCAGCCTCTCCCTCATTCAGTATTTTCTCTCCCTTTCACTCTAATTAGATTAAATTTGTGATTGTAAGGCAGTGAAGCAGCAGTATCAGCAGTGATGTTGCTGATGCTGGTTTGATAGTCACTCATCAAAACTGCCTCTCTTAGCTTGTGATTGAAATTGAACGATGAACGAATTCGAATACTGGTTGGCAGGTGTGGGAGTGAAAATGAAAACGAACGAAATCACAGTGAAACAGATGATGTGGCATCAGAGATATTAACATGCAGTGGAGCAAGCCGCCGGCAACCTCGGAGGATGCGAGGCTCTTAGAAAGCTGTAGAGCTGCTCACCTCCAGCAGTGAGAAAATAAGCGGTTTCGTAACATAGCACTACAGTTCGAACCTCTCCGGTAACTCCCGGATTTCGAGTGAACTTCTCAACGGGCAGAATCTCCATTTCTCGACGCCAGCTATGACGATCTGCGGGTCGATGCTGGTCCGGAGAAGACTTTAATCAACACTGAAGTGGGACCGGACTACGCGCTCAAAGTATACGAGAGAAAAAGTGCTGAGGCCACAACAGAAATCAAAGATATGTTGTTACGCGCAGGCTCATCGACTACAAGGGAACACAAGGGCGATAAAGGATCAACTGAAACGCCGACAGACCTCAGACAACCAAGATTGATTCGCAAGATAGTGGCCATGACAAGTGTTGATCGAAATATCCGACCCAACGGTTGAGGCGTTCTTGTTCATTTGAGATGGTCACTCCCTTACGATTCTTGATGGTTTCACTCACAGGTGGTTTTCGGGGCCCGGTCGCACGGATCGACTGAAATAATCTTCGGGCATTACCGGCTTTCTGAGCTTCTTCCATTTCCTTGGCTTTCTGTGTCCACCACACTTCACGGCCGACTTGCACGATTACCTTGACTTGACGTCCGATAATCCGTCGATTCAAGTGATGCCCCGGGCTGGCTTGGAAATTTCTCCGAAATTTAAGCAGCGCCACCGTTTGGTCTGATATCCAGTGCTTGAGTGTGCCTGGTGGAGCTGCGCCACAGGCAAAATTCCCAGCACTATGCAACCAGATGGAAATCTCCTCCCAGTATGAGTTCATGTCTGATGGTGGAACATTTGGAAGAGACTCTAGAAGACTATTCTGGTAAGTTCGTCTAACACCCGGATCTGCCAGTCTCAGATACCAAGCGATTTGCTTGCACCTTACAAGGTTCTAGAAGACGTAGGGGGCGAGATGGACCAAGTGGTTAGAGCGCGAATTTACTGACCGGATGTCCGTGGTTCGAACCCGACCTCTGCCTCTCGACTTCCTCTGTCTAGGCTTGGGCGACCTAACAGAATCTCAGCACTCGTGCTTCCTTCGTGTGGCATGGCAGCTAGGCACCGAAAGGGTGCTGCAGCTGGACGATTATTATATAGGGAGCAGCAACTCTGGAAAAGCGCGTGGTCGGAGTCCGCAAATGTGTTCCGAAACGACCGGCAGTCAGTTGTTGAACAACGCCATCGGTACTGACGGCAATGTGGTCGATTTGAGTTTGTGGCCGGCCTGCCGTTGGAGGACACCCAGTGGGCAGACGATTTCGGCTACATCAAAAGGTAGTACGGCATAAAAACAGCCTTCGATCAGCAGACAGTTGAAGCAATCGTTCCTCATTGTCCGGACGTACGGGTTTAATCCATCTCGACCTCCTAATTGAGACTCAGATACGCTAAGCCTGCCCACTTATGCGTTCAAATCTCCGGCAACCACCACCATGTCTGAGCTTTTAGCCCGCCGCAGGAGAGAATTCAGGACGTCATAAAGCCTGCCCCTGAGGAGGTAGGAACTACAGTCGATTGGGGCATAAGCAGACGCGACAAACAGACATCTATCAACCTCCCGCCTGTGAGACCCCTTTCACAGACGTCGCCAGAAGAACCGCACAGGTATCCAGTCAAGCAAGGATACTTCCGCCCGGTGACTTAGCACAATACCAACCCCTGCACATCCCACCGCAGCAGCTTCTGGATCACCAGAGGTGCGCAGTCTGAAGCGAGTGGAGACTGACGGCGCGGTTAGCTCAATCACTTTGACTGCATCTTGAATTCTTGTTTCTGAGACACAACACACATAAATGCCAAGCGAGTCTAGTGTGAGCGCAAGGGATCTTGTTGTCCTGCTTGCTTCAGAGTGCGCGGATTGAAGGCAGTAGGACAGATTGGGTGTCGAGGCTTGAAGATTGGTTTGTAGATACATGAGGATGTCGGCGCGATGTGACGAGCGGATGCCGCACGTAAAACCGATGCAATCCGGAGAAGACTTTAATCAACACTGAAGTGGGACCGGACTACGCGCTCAAAGTATACGAGAGAAAAAGTGCTGAGGCCACAACAGAAATCAAAGATATGTTGTTACGCGCAGGCTCATCGACTACAAGGGAACACAAACGCGACAAAGGATCAACTGAAACGCCGACAGACCTCAGACAACCAAGATTGATTCGCAAGATAGTGGCCATGACAAGTGTTGATCGAAATATCCGACCCAACGGTTGAGGCGTTCTTGTTCATTTGAGATGGTCACTCCCTTACGATTCTTGATGGTTTCACTCACAGGTGGTTTTCGGGGCCCGGTCGCACGGATCGACTGAAATAATCTTCGGGCATTACCGGCTTTCTGAGCTTCTTCCATTTCCTTGGCTTTCTGTGTCCACCACACTTCACGGCCGACTTGCACGATTACCTTGACTTGACGTCCGATAATCCGTCGATTCAAGTGATGCCCCGGGCTGGCTTGGAAATTTCTCCGAAATTTAAGCAGCGCCACCGTTTGGTCTGATATCCAGTGCTTGAGTGTGCCTGGTGGAGCTGCGCCACAGGCAAAATTCCCAGCACTATGCAACCAGATGGAAATCTCCTCCCAGTATGAGTTCATGTCTGATGGTGGAACATTTGGAAGAGACTCTAGAAGACTATTCTGGTAAGTTCGTCTAACACCCGGATCTGCCAGTCTCAGATACCAAGCGATTTGCTTGCACCTTACAAGGTTCTAGAAGACGTAGGGGGCGAGATGGACCAAGTGGTTAGAGCGCGAATTTACTGACCGGATGTCCGTGGTTCGAACCCGACCTCTGCCTCTCGACTTCCTCTGTCTAGGCTTGGGCGACCTAACAGAATCTCAGCACTCGTGCTTCCTTCGTGTGGCATGGCAGCTAGGCACCGAAAGGGTGCTGCAGCTGGACGATTATTATATAGGGAGCAGCAACTCTGGAAAAGCGCGTGGTCGGAGTCCGCAAATGTGTTCCGAAACGACCGGCAGTCAGTTGTTGAACAACGCCATCGGTACTGACGGCAATGTGGTCGATTTGAGTTTGTGGCCGGCCTGCCGTTGGAGGACACCCAGTGGGCAGACGATTTCGGCTACATCAAAAGGTAGTACGGCATAAAAACAGCCTTCGATCAGCAGACAGTTGAAGCAATCGTTCCTCATTGTCCGGACGTACGGGTTTAATCCATCTCGACCTCCTAATTGAGACTCAGATACGCTAAGCCTGCCCACTTATGCGTTCAAATCTCCGGCAACCACCACCATGTCTGAGCTTTTAGCCCGCCGCAGGAGAGAATTCAGGACGTCATAAAGCCTGCCCCTGAGGAGGTAGGAACTACAGTCGATTGGGGCATAAGCAGACGCGACAAACAGACATCTATCAACCTCCCGCCTGTGAGACCCCTTTCACAGACGTCGCCAGAAGAACCGCACAGGTATCCAGTCAAGCAAGGATACTTCCGCCCGGTGACTTAGCACAATACCAACCCCTGCACATCCCACCGCAGCAGCTTCTGGATCACCAGAGGTGCGCAGTCTGAAGCGAGTGGAGACTGACGGCGCGGTTAGCTCAATCACTTTGACTGCATCTTGAATTCTTGTTTCTGAGACACAACACACATAAATGCCAAGCGAGTCTAGTGTGAGCGCAAGGGATCTTGTTGTCCTGCTTGCTTCAGAGTGCGCGGATTGAAGGCAGTAGGACAGATTGGGTGTCGAGGCTTGAAGATTGGTTTGTAGATACATGAGGATGTCGGCGCGATGTGACGAGCGGATGCCGCACGTAAAACCGATGCAAGACGAACAGAGTCACCAGTCCTAAGTGCTCGGTCTGGAAGAGGAGAGTTAATGAAGTATGAAAACGGAGAAAAAGTATGTGAAAGAGAAAGAAGGGAGGCGTCACTAATGGCCTGCTTTCGCTTACCCGCCCTGCTGTATGCAGCGAGTAAGACGACCAGGCTGATGGCACCATGCGACGGCCGATGTGGCATGAGTTTATTTGTATATGTGCAGTTCATGGTTGTGTGTGGGCTGGGATACCGCCAGGGTCCTCAACCAAAGCATTGGGCTCAGAATCCCAACCGCAAGGCAGCGGTGTTTGGCAGGAAATGCAAATGCATTACCATTTCTACGGTACAAATCGCCACATGTTCTAACCTCCAACCCGGAACACCAGGACAGTGTGTTCGTCAGACCGCTAGCCACTGATCAGCCTGGTATGAGGGACTATGAGTGTCGCGGAGACACCCCTCAGTGTAGCCCAATGGGTCGCTGAGGTGCGCAAATTGTCACACCACGGTAAGGTCGTCTCTTCTTACAAACGATTCCGACTCGACCTCTGGTAAAAAAAAAACAATAAACACGGTGGCGGCATCTTCACCGTTCTCCTGTTGGATTGGACACCATTCGTCCGTTTTTAATGCTCACGTGATGGTGTTGAACAAGTGACCTCGATTTCCAACTAATTTTCGCAAAATCCCGTTGCACAATCTCCACATTGCTCCCTAAAAGTTTCATACAATGCTTTGGAGGAACCCCTAAATGACCCCGGGCGTTTAGTGGTCCTGATGCAACGGTTCGTGGTATATTCCGCGTGGGGGTTGTGTTGAGCTCCACGGCTGAATGCGCCTTAATGGACGGGGTTCCAGTAAATAATTCTCTCTGCGCTGTTAAGTCGATCGACCGCTTTAATCGAGACCAATGCATCTGAAGATGGCTCCGTGGTTGTTGCACGAATTTACCGACCGGAAGATCTGTGGTTCGACTCTCGATTTCCCGTCGAGGCTTGAGCAACCTGGCAGTAGCCCAGCCCTCGTGCTTCCTTCGGGTGACATGGCAGCTAGGCACCGAAGGGGCGTTACAGCTGAACGATTAGTATTAATATTAACAATCAGGTCATCCGAAAGTACAGGCATCGTGATTTTGGAATGTGAAACGAATGTTAACATTGATCGATTTAGCCCTGAGGCAGCTCATCTTGGCGGCAGATTCGGGTTGGGGGTACCCACAGCACAGGTAATGAAGAGCTACTTCAACTAGGTGCCAAATATCATTTGTTTCTAACCAATCAAAACTTTCGGCACGAACACTCAAAACCATGCGACTCGCTGGATAGCTTTTGATGCTAGATTGTCGTTCGTTTTAGAGATTACCAAGAAACTCCAGTAACACCAATGTGCACGCATATGTACCCATTGGACATCTCTCTGGAACGCGCACCTCGACCCAAAGCCATTCACTTTACCAACTGGAAGAAGGTTCTGATGAGAACCAGCGATTCGTGTGCCTCCCTGACCCAGTGAGTTATTTTTAGGAGGAATTCGCTGCTGCGCGTAGTTAAGCGCTGCTGTGGACGAGAAGCCTGACCCGCACGCGATTGGGCAGATGATCGGGTAGTTTGCCCGTCAAGCATCAA